AGCTTTAAAACAATAATAATCAGTCTAAATATTTATATTCTAGTCCTAGTCGAACTGGTGTGATAACTGGTTAGTTTTCATGATTCAAGTTGGACAGTTAGTAGCTTTAAAACAGTAATAATCAGGTTAAATATGTATATTATAGTTGTAGTCGAACTGGTGTGATACATGGTTAGATTTCATGATTCAAGCTGGACAGGTAGTAGCTTTAAAACAATAATAATCAGTCTAAATATTTATATTCTAGTCCTAGTCGAACTGGTGTGATAAGTGGTTAGATTTCATGATTCAAGTTGGACAGGTAGTAGCTTTAAAACAATAATAATCAGGTTAAATATGTATATTATAGTTGTAGTCGAACTGGTGTGATACATGGTTAGATTTCATGATTCAAGCTGGACAGGTAGTAGCTTTAAAACAATAATAATCAGGTTAAATATTTATATTCTAGTCCTAGTCGAACTGGTGTGATACCTGGTTAGATTCCATGATTCAAGCTGGACAGGTAGTAGCTTTAAAACAACAATAATCAGTCTAAATATTTATATTCTAGTCCTAGTCGAACTGGTGTGATACCTGGTTAGATTTCATGATTCAAGCTGGACAGGTAGTAGCTTTAAGACAGCAATAATCAGTCTAAATATTTATATTCTAGTCCTAGTCGAACTGGTGTGATACCTGGTTAGATTCCATAGTAATTTAGTGTTATATAAAGATTCACTTTTGTTATGGTCTTTTTCCCATTATTGTATGAATCGAATTGATTCAGGAAGAAATTACTAGATTGTTTACCATTATCTCAGATTACTAGATTGTTTACCATTATCTCAGGTTACTAGATTGTTCACCCTTATCTCAGATTACTAGATTGTTTACCATTATCTCAGATTACTAGATTGTTTACCATTATCTCAGATTAATGAATTGTTTACCATTATCTCAGGTTACTAGATTGTTTACCATTATCTCAGATTACCAGATTGTTTACCATTATCTCAGATTACTAGATTGTTTACCATTATCTCAGATTACTAGATTGTTTACCATTATCTCAGATTAATGAATTGTTTACCCTTATCTCAGATTAATGAATTGTTTACCATTATCTCAGATTACTAGATTGTTTACCATTATCTCAGATTACTAGATTGTTTACCCTTATCTCAGATTAATGAATTGTTTACCCTGAGATAATGGTAAACAATTCATTAATCTGAGATAAGATTACTAGATTGTTTACCATTATCTCAGATTAATGAATTGTTTACCATTATCTCAGATTACTGAGATTGAAGAGCACTCCTCCTCTATATAATACCGAGGCATCATAATTCCTCCTCTAACCATTATCATCGGTATCAGGAGTGGCCAAATGGATCTCCGTTTGTAAATATTGTCTTCTTTCAAATGCTCAAAGTGTAACCGTTGTAACACAGACAGTATTATACTAAACACCGTATATTTTAGTACCAGTTTGTTATTATTACAGAAACTTCTTCTCGTTATGGTTGTCGTCCATTCAACAATAGTAGCGGCAAAGAGCAAAGTCACCTGGGATGAAGAACCATCCAACGCTAGAATAGATGGAAGTCATGGAAACTTTGGTGATCGTATTAGTGGTAAACATGGAAACACTGGAGGTAGCCATGGAGATTCTAAAACTAATAACCCGAGTGTTCCGAAAAGTGGACATGGAGATGGCGCTAACTTTGAACTTGGTAATGAATTTGGAAGACGAATTGGAAGTGGTAGCGGAAAACATTTTCAATTTCATGAACAAGTAAGTGATATTTTGGGAATCATAGTATAGTTTATTTCAGCAAGGCTTAGGTCTGCCGTATCTGAATTATACATATTGAATCTCAGGGAAAATCCCAACTATAAAAGCAGTTTATTGTATCAGTCGTTTCAACTTACTTGTAAATCTATGTTTGCGTTTTTAATATTTCGTTATTTAAATTATTGTATTTTATAAGTTTAAATTTTACTCAATAGTTTCATTTTAATATACTTTATTTAAGATTTGTCGGGCCTATTTATATAAGATCCAAAAGTTCGTCAAATACTCGTTTTCATTCAACCAGCTATAACTAACCGTTACAGAAAAATTATCAATGGTTGTCATGGTTAGTAACCATGACAATGAATAACCTTAATACATCCAATTAAGGTTACTCAGACAATGGATGATTTTCTAGTTATCCAATAGACGATGGAGAATTTTCTAGTTATCCAATAGACGATGGAGAATTTTCTAGTTATCCAATAGACGATGGAGAATTTTCTAGTTATCCAATAGACGATGGATGATTTTCTAGTTATCCAATAGACGATGGATGATTTTCTAGTTATCCAATAGACGATGGAGAATTTTCTAGTTATCCAATAGACGATGGAGAATTTTCTAGTTATCCAATAGACGATGGAGAATTTTCTAGTTATCCAATAGACGATGGAGAATTTTCTAGTTATCCAATAGACGAT